CTGGAGTGCAGTCGTGCGATCTCGGCTCACTGTAAGCTCCGCCTCCCGGGTTCAAGCGATTCTCCTGCCTCAGCCTCCTGAGTAGCTGGCACTACAGGTGCCTGCCACCACGCCTAGACTGGAGTGCAATGGCACAATCTTGGCTCATTGCAACCTCCCCCTCCCAGGTTCAAGCAATTCTCCTGCCTCAGCCTCCTGAGTAGCTGGGATTACAGGCAAGTGCCACCACGCTGGCTAGTTTTGTATTTTTGTAGAGATAGGGTTTCTCCATTTTGGTCAGGCTAGTCTCGAACTCCCGACCTCAGGTGATCTGCCCACCTTGGCCTCCCAGAGTGCTGGGATTACAGGTATGAGCCATGGCACCCAGACTTATCTTTTTTTCTGAGACGGAGTCTCACTCTGTTGCCCAGGCTGGACTGCAGTTGCGTAATCGTGACTCACTACAACCTCCGCCTCCTGATCTTTACCCTCTATAATTCTTCTGGCCTATGCCTCCTAGTGATCATTTTTACTATTTTTTTCTTTTTAAAATTGTGGTTAAAACACACAATGTGGCCAGGCGCGGTGGCTCACGCCTGTAATCCCAGCACTTTGGGAGGCTGAGGCGGGCAGATCACGAGGTCAGGAGATTGAGACCATCATGGCTAATACGGTGAAACCCCATCTCTACTAAAAATACAAAAAAAAAAAAATTAGCAGGTGTGGTGGTGGGCGCTTGTAGTCCCAGCTACTCAGGAGGCTGAGGCAGGAGAAAGGCATGAACCTGGGAGGCGGAGCTTGCAGTGAGCTGAGATCGTGCCACTGCACTCCAGCCTGGGTGACAGAGCGAGACTCCGTCTTAAAAAAAAAAAAAAGCATAGAATTTACCATCTTAATAACGTAAAAGTGTACAGTTCAGTAGAGTTAAGTGCATCACAGTGCTATGCAACAGATCCCCAGAACTTTTCCATCTTGCAACATTGAAACTTCATACCTACTAAACAATAATTCTTCCTCAATTTCTACTTTTGATTATATCATTTATGCCAATGTGTTTCATAATTGCAGAAGGCTTTTTGGGTTCTCTTTCTAGTCTTGTTATTCCCATTCTCTATTTATTTGTTTTGTTTTGGTTTTTTTGTTTGTTTGTCTGTCTGTGTTTTAGACAGAGTCTCGCTCTGTCATCCAGGCTGGAGTGCAGTGGTGCCATCTTGGCTCACTGCAACCTCCGCCTCCCAGATTCAAGCGATTCTTGTGCTTCAGCCTCCCAAATAGCTAGGATTGCAGGTGCGCACTACCATGCCCAGCTAATTTTTGTGTTTTTAGTAGAGAGGGGGTTTCACCATGTTGCCCAGGCTAGTCTCGAACTCCTGGGCTCAAGCGATCCGCCTGCCTTAGCCTCCCAAAGTGATGGGATTGCAGGCATAAGCCACTGTGTTCGGCCTATTCCCATTCTCTTAATATATACCTTGAGTTTGAAATCCCTTTTTTCTAGGTTAGTTGATTGATTGTTGGGGGGCAGGTGCACACACAATTTGCAAAACGAAGGGAAAGATTTGGTATTTGGAAGCTTTGTTAAGAACCGTAGTAAAACCCTCTTAAGACGATAAGGGAAATTTGCTTATTTCCCTTTTCCTAAGAATTTTAAATGCTGTCTGTGCCACTTTTAGTAATTTTCTTCTTTTTTCTTACCTCCCTTCCACCCTGCCTTCTTACTCATTCTCTGTGTTGGTATAGCCATTTGAATGGGATAAGACATGAAGAAGGAAAAATTATTTCACGTGAATATTTACATTATGTAAGAAATTATTCTAGGAAGGAAATTGAAAAAATATGCTGCTCTCAATAATACACAACACTGGGAGGCCAAGGCAGGACGATCACTTGAAGCCAGGAGTTTGAAACCGGCTTGGGCAACAAAGCAAGAGTCTATAATCTCTACAAAAAGTTAAAAAGTCAGCCAGGCATGGTGTCATGCACCTGTAGTCCCAGCTACTAAGGAGGCTGAGGTGCGAGGGTTGCTTGAGCCTATGAGTTCAAGGCCGCAGTGAGCTATGATCGCACCCTGCACTCCAGCCTGGGTGACAGCGCAAGACCCTGTCTCTAAAATAAACAAATTTAACAACAATAATAATAATACACAATAGTTTCAATGTTGATATATCTATCAGAATAGTTGCAGTATTAATATAGCTCCTGCCACTTTCATATATTCACACATTTGTTCCTCCCTTTAGTTGGCATGTATTTAGAGATTTAAAATTCTTTTTTGTATTAATATAAACAAAATGTAGTAAATATATTTAAATTCAGGTATAGGCTGGGCACAGTGGCTCACACCTGTAATCCTGACACTTTGGGAGGCCAAGGCAGGCGGATCACTTGAGGTCAGGAGTTCGAGACCAGTCTGGAGAACATGGTGAAACCCCCCATCTCTACTAAAAATACAGAAATTAGCTAGGCGTGGTGGTGGGTGCCTGTAATCCCACCTACTTGGGAGGCTGAGGCATAAGAATAACTTGAACCTGGGAGACAGAGGTTGCAGTGAGCCAAGATGGTGCCACTGCACTCTGGCCTAGGAGACAGAGCAAGACTCTGACTCAAAATAAATAAATAAATTCAGGTATAAAGAACTTAGATCTTTGGAATATTGAAACTGCTGCCTTCCCTTCTGAAGAATTATGGATTATCGATTATTGAGTTTCTCCAGTGCCACATTGCTAATTGAGAACTACCTGGGAGGGACATCTCCTAGCCAGTTCCTGGTAGCCGTTCTTGGTGTTGTCTTTCAACATGTCTATACATCCTCTATCCTTAGCTTTTGAAGAGGGAGAACAGCAGATTGCTCAGTTACATGGGTCTGGATTTTAATTCTTTGCCGTATCAAGTACCTACTTCAGATGAAGGAGGCGCAGGACAAAATCCAGGACTTGTCTATGGAAACCCGTATTCTGGTAAGACAACTTTCCCATTCCAACTGGAAGGACCCTGCCTGCATCCCTTTCCCCTACTAAATTTTTGTTTCTGAGGTGCTCATTAAGACCAGTCTCATTGTTAAGACTTGCTGGGCAGAAGCTGAGGACCCAATGGAAAGATTGCCAGGCGAGAAGTGTTAATTGAGAAATAAATCTGAATCCAGAAGACACAAATCAGATCATTCGCCTAGAGGCAGCAGACACAAATTGAGTCCCGTGGCTATATTCCAAATGTGTAAATCAGAGAAATGTCTTTATGTAGAAGATATACACATACAAAGCTGAGGAAGCTAATTAAGGCTTTGAAATGGTAGCAAGAGAGGCAAGTTATGCCGCCCAGGAACTAGTGGATACAGCAGCCACCCTGATGGCTGACCAAGGGCAGCAAAAACATGCTCCGCAGAGATTCCTCGGTGGTAGGACAGGAAATGGGGGTGAAAAGGACTTAGGGTAACATGTCCTTGCCAAACAGGGAGCTTTTCTCATTTGTCTCCAAAAGCAATATGAGATCTCATTTGCTTTTTGTGGCATTTTAAAGCAGCAGCATTATCTTTAGAGTTACAACCAGATGTTTATAACAGGTAATAAGTTTATTTTTTCTTTAAAATTAAGTTTGTAGCCATGTGCAGTGGCTCATGCCTATAATTCCAGCACTGTGGGAGGCCAAGGCGGGCAGATCACCTGAGGTCAGGAGTTCAAGACAAGCATGGCTACCGTAGTGAAACCCTGTCTGTACTAAAAATACAAAAATTAGCTGGGCGTAGTAGTGGACTTGGCTCACTGCAACCTCCGCCTCCTGGGCTCAACAGATCCTCTCAGCCCACTGCAACCTCCACCTCCCGGGCTCAACCGATCCTCTCACCTCAGCCTACCAAGTAGCAGAGACTACAGGCGCCAGCCACCACGCCCAGCTAATTTTTGTATTTTGTGTAGAGTTGGGGTTTTGCCATGTTGCCCAGGCCGATTTCGAACTCCTGAGCTCAAGCAATCCACCCACCTCAGCCTCCCAAAGTGCTGGGATTTTAAGTGTGAGCCATTGTACCTGTCTGTGGATACAGTCTTAAAATCTATTCTCAGATTGTCCTTAAATTGTTACTATTTTTATTAAAATCTCATTTTCCCTACTCTGAAAATAGCTTTATTGTTTTTCTGACTGTATAACATATATATACACATATATATATAAAGCCTGTGTGTGTGTGTGTGTGTATATATATATATAATATACACACGCACAGCTAATGAAAATACAATTTCAGCCGGGCACAGTGGTTCACGCCTGTAATCCCAGCACTTTGGGAGGCCAAGACAGGCAGATCATGAGGTCAGGAGATCGAGACCATCCTGGCTAACATTGTGAAACCCCATCTCTACTAAAAATAGATAAACAAAAAATTAGCCAGGTGTGGTGGCAGGCGCCTGTAGTCCCAGCTACTTGGGAAGCTGAGACAGGAGAATGGTGTGAAC